AGATTTATTCTGGAAACTTAGAGATGAATATAAGATTAACAGAACATTTTTTCAAAAATTGTAAATTGTACACTAAAAATAATTTGTCAGCGATTAGCAAAGAAAGAGGTGATTATAGTAAATTGCCACTGTGTATCTATGAAGAGGCCATGCTAAAATAACATTAATTTCTCTTTGTGACAGTGTCACTAGCGTGGTAGATCCAAGGGCTTCTTGGACACTCTGTCACATCACCTCTGGGAGGGACAGAAAATTGTGACAGAGCGTATAGACAGAAGGTGTGTGGCATCATGGCTAAGAGCATAGGTCTGAAGACACAGAGCCTGTAGAAAGCCTGGCTTTGCCACCTATGATCTTCATCACCTATAATCTTCATGATGGTGGATAACCTGTATTTGCCTCAATTGTTTCACCTGTCAAATGGGTATAATATTTCCTACATTAGATGGTTGCTGTCAATATTACCTACAAATAATAAATGCTTGATAAAGATCAGCCATCGTTATTTTTACCAAGCTGTTTGAACGGCGCTATTATAAAAGTGTTCAACAATAAATCATTTAAATCAAAGGAACCTATCATTTTGGAGTACTTGAAACAGGCACCATCTTATTTGACATCTTATCGGTTATTTTTGAAGAAGCAGTAGGCCAATGACCAAAGAATCTACATAAAAGTGAATAATGCTCTACAGACCAGAGAATCAGGACTTAGAGAAATCATAAACTTGTGGAATCTCAGGCAAAACAGTCAAATAAAACTTACTAGATGTAATATCCTGGGATGGCTATAAAGCCATTATAATTCATGTAAAAATGACCTGGAGAGTATAGGTCTTTATATAGTCCAACATTACAACCCGATCAATGATAAACTGACTTAGCCTCAATACCAGATGTATAGAACCAGATGAGATAGCCCCAGCATTCTCGGTCCTGGATAGGTTAGTTGCAGTGTTCCATCCAATCATGGGCCACATTCTAAGAGACAATGACATACAAGAGAACATGCAAAGGAGGGTGTCCCATAGGAGCATGCCACTTGAGGACCAGGGAGGGAAATGAAGAATGAGAATTGAAAAAATGAGGCCAAGACTTCATGATGATTTGCTTGAGAGAACTCAGACATCAAATTCATGGACTTAGATGTCTACATTCGCTCTCTCCCCTACATGCCTTTCACACTACAGCCTTGCTCCTGCTTCCCCCACCCCTCAACCACTGCTCTGCACAGAGCCACGCTGGTCTCCAAGGGACATTGCTCAACCCTGACCCTTCTTAACCCTTTGGGAGAATCTCACTTACTGATCACTATCATCTTCTATTTCACTCTCTTCCCTCAGCTTCCATAACATAATAACCTCCTAGTTTTCCTCCTTCCTTTTCTAACCAGCCACATGCTCCCTGTTGACCTTTAATACATGCTCTGGCCTTCCTGTGCAACTCTGTGCTGATTTCTCCCAAATCCATTACTTCTGTTGGTATAGTCAGTCACCTAAAAGAAATCGCCTCTTCCACATGGAGACTCAGGCTCAAAGTAAAAATGAAAAAGGGACATCAAGTTGTAAAATACAGGAAGAATTATTATTTTTTTTTATCCTCACCTGAGGATATTTTTCTATTTATCATCAGATAGAGTGGAGGGAGGGAGAGAGGGAGAAAGAGAAAGAGAAACATGGATGTGTCACATCAACTGGTTGCCTCCCGCATGACCCTGACCAGAGCAGGGGACGAACCGCAACCAAGGTACATGCCCTTGAGTGGAATCGAACCCTTGACTCATTGGTCCACAGGCCAATCCTCTAACCACAGAGCCAAACCAGCCAGGGCTAGGAAGAGTTCTTAAAGTTGGCTTTCCATATCTGTATGAGCAATATGGTGTTACTCCTTTAAGCCAATGACCCTTCCTCCCATTGAATATTTTATTTCCAAATCTCAATCACTTTGTTTTGAAGACAAAATAATGAAGGATAGATGTGATTCCCAAAGGGCTCTTTACCAACCCACACCTCTCAGCAAAGTTGGGCACTATGTCCAACCAGTACCTAATCGAGTCCTTTTATAGTTTTAGTTTTATTAATTCAAAACAACTCAATTCTGGCTGCAGTAACAGTCACTCAATTGAGACTTGGCTAAGCCACTTGAAGAAAAACAACAAAAAACCTTGAACTACAAGTTAGGAAAATAATGAAAACTAGATTTTGTGTTTGTGGCTTTGCTCTCCTTAAATGGTTATTTGTGCTTTTAGATTTTCCATCACAGACAAGCCACTGTAGAGATTGCTCTGGTCTTGCCCCTTGGCTTAAAGAAATGGAAAACCTCTCTCCCCTTTGGCAGCAGCACCACTGCCTGGAAGCCTCTGCTGACCTTCTGGTTCTCATTCTGTCTGTGCTGCCCCAGATAGGTGGCACGCTGCTCACACCCATCAGGAAGGGCCCCTCCTGAGCTGCTCTGCAGTTCTTGGAACAAGTATTTTTTATTTGACATTTTACAAACACCCCCCCAAAACTATCTGATGGGCCTTGTCACCATTCCATCCTCAAGTAAGTCCAGAAAGCTGGAGTCCAGTCCCTGGAAAGGTTTCATCTCATTTCCTCCCCACTCTTTCTGCCAAAGTCTCCTTTCAAGTCCAGTGCAAAAGCGTCCTCCTCTATGCAGCTTTCTCCGCTGGACTTGATCAGATCACTGCATGGCGCCTTCACATGGTAAACACATGCCGCGCCCTGCAGGGCCATCCATTCTAGTTTGGTTGGTGTTCAACGTGATAGAACTGCAGTGACTGTGTAGGGCTACTACCAAAAGGCCGGTGTGGAATTCGGCTCTTTCTCATTAATGAAGAGCTATCACTAGGCTGATGCTAAACCATGTCTGTGACATTCGATTTAACCTGAGCTCCCTGGACCCCTGTATGATTCCCAACTCTGCAGTCAGTGCTGGGTTATGGAGTTAGGAGGAGACAGCTCCCACCTTCCCAGAGCTCGGAGTCCAGGAGGGCATGTGGACAGTCACAGCTAGTAAAGATTTAGTATGATAGACTACTGTGTGTGTGGTATGAAAAGGGGCTTTGAAAGCAACTTTTCCATTTTTTTCCCTAAAGAATGATCAAGATCTCACCAAGTGAAAAAAAAAGAGGCTACTCCAGGTACAGGAATGAAACAAACAGACTGTTATTAAGCCCATCTAAACACTCGATCAAGGGAAGTGGACTTTAAAGCCATTGTTTAGCCCTGGCTGGTTTGGTTCAGTGGTTGGTGTGTTGGCCTGTGGACCAGAGAGTCCCGGGTTTGGTTCCCGCTAGGGGCACGTACCAAAAAGCCATTGTCAGGTTTGTGATGTTTGTTTTATGTTGTATCATATTTTCTTCAAATACTAGTAAATATAACTTTCTAATGGGTAAACACTATGGTTACTATTCCTATAATATTGAACGTTTCTAAGTATAAACCAAGGTTTTCTTTATCCCATAAAATTGTCCCTCAAAAACAAGGCAATCCATATATTCAGGACCTCAGAAAGCCTCTCAAAGTACAGGAAGTTCCTCTTATTTGTTTTGAAAAGAAGTGTGCTATTTGGAAAAGATATGTTAACTTCAAACAACCTCAATCAATGGTAGTTTTTTTTTAAGAATTGGTAAAAAGAGGATTAAAAAATTTTACAAGGGTAAAGTCTTTTTCCTGAGAATATGTCCTCAAAGTTACAAATGCTGGATGTTGGAAGTCTTTACAAGCAAGGCTTCTAAAAATCACCAATCACCTTAAACAGAAACACACTAAATCACTGTCCTGTGGACAGGTAGGGTGGGGGAAATGTCCTACTGTTATCAGAGTTGGAACTTGTCACTTCAGAAAATATTTCTAGTGGAAACATCATGTGTAAATTCAAAGGTATTTTATATTAACAATGTAGGTGGATAAAGATGATGTGTTAGATGACTCAAAAAGTGATTTTACTAATGATGAAAACTAGATGTCAAAATATATGTAAATTGTATGAGTAAAATTGCTTCATTTACTGTGAGAGTAGAAATCAGTATTTCTAAATTAATATGATAGTTGATAACTTTATATTTGAATGTATAATTACATTAATAAAATAAGTAGCTGCCTGACTTTACAATTTATAGCCCTAAAGAGCTGCATAGAAAAGTTAGTAATAAAGCTTTTGTAAATAAAATATCATAAAAATAGCAGATTACCTCACATTTTGGGTGCCCCAATTTTTAAGCAACTTTTATTGCATAGCATTGTATATGGAAAGTTGAATAAGTGTTACTTGTGTGCATTATTAAAACAAACAGAAACTTCTCTTTTACAAAAAGTTAACTGAAATGAGCATAAATTTAAATAAAAATAAAAATTATGATTCCTAGTATCAGGCAGATTAAGTATTAAATGAAGCCATGGCATCCAAATATTTTTCTTATCTCTTGAAAACAACCCACCTGCCCTGGCCAGTAGAGCACCCGCCCTCGGACTGAAGGGTCTCAGGTTTGATTTCCAGTCAAGGACACATACCTGGGTTACAGGTTCGATCCCCAGCCCTGGTAGGAGCATGTGTGGGAGGCAACGAATTGATGTGTCTCTCTCACATCGATGTTTCTCTCTCTCTCCCCTTCCCTCCCTTCCACTTTATTTAAAAATCAATCGAAAAATATCCTCAGGTGAGGATTAACAACAACAAAAAAACCCCACCAAAAATAGAAGTTATTCTTTCCCTTCTGCATTATTTAATTAACATAAGGTTGGTCAGTCCAGAAGTTATAATGAAAACTAAAAACATCGATAGTTCTTTGTGTATATAATGTAGGAGCTTAAATATCCTTCGTATTAAGATGACGCAGAGAAAGAGGCATGAAGTATTCTGCGCAGGCGCCATGGCTACACACTGCAGGTGTGCAGGGCAGGGCTAGGCACTCAGTTCTTCAAAGCCTGATAACATCTAGTTTGGCTTGCCTAACTTTGTCTGAAAATACAGTGATTTACTTAGCTTCAGAACACGTACCTCTAAATAGTCAGTGGAGCAGTTTATGTGATCTTCCAAGTCAAATTCTAAAAATGTGTAATTCACGGTGTTGCCCGTCGTTGCTTGGATGGTCCAGTTGCAACGCTGATTGTCAGCATAGGGGTTTGGATGATGTATGCTCTCTAAGATGCCATAGGTTTGATTCACAATCCTCACGTTCTCACATGCTGGAAAAAATAACCATGATTGTTAGGAACCGCTATCAAATATGTCAAAATTGTCCCAAGATGTGTGTGAGATTTCCTTTAAAAATACCTAGTTTTAAAAAGTATATATTTATCTAGAAATCTATATATCTAGATATCTAGATCTAGATTTAGATATATAGATATCTGATGCTGCATTTTTTTATGGTGAAAGGATGCCCATTTAGAACAAATATAAAAGAATGCTTAAGTGAATTCACCATCTTCGAAGTATGATGAAACTGCCCATGTTAGAATGGACATCCATTCCTGTGAGTTAGTGGAAAGTCAAATAGCTTAGCACTACTCAGAGATCTGTTTGTATAGAGAAGTGTATTAAACATTCTATGCCTCTGTTTTTCTAATTTTAACATTTGGAAGGGACAGAAATCTTGACCTTTGAATTCAACAGTTTAAAAACACAAAGTTCTATGTGAATGTTAAAAATGAATCACAACACTGCTTTGTTGAATTCAAAAGTCAGCATGTACTTCATAATAAAGGCTCTGTTATTCCTCTAGTTAGTCATCAGGAAGTACCAAACAAATAGGGGGAATGTACAGGACTTGAAGAAAAATGAAAATCTTAAATTAAAAAAAAAATCTTCAATCCAGTGGTGGCATTTTCTTCAGCTTAGTTTTCAACAAATCTATACTATGTACCTCTAGACTAGGTTTGGCGTGTCCTGGGACTCAGTGGGAAATTCGGCCAAACCTAAGGACTTGAAGGCATATGCCTGCCTTTTCTCAAGCCTTTCTTATATCGTCTGTATGACGTGCAATATAAGAGAATGGGGAAATAAACGTTCTATTGAAAAACTTGTCTCTGAAGAATGTGGTTCGTACACACATTTCTACCGAAACCTGGCTTCCTGGCAGGTGGCTGGAGCACCATTTATAAACTTTGGTCTGAAAAGTATACACTTGTGTTTCTTCAAAATCTTCCTTTGCTAGAGCAGTGAGTACTCAAACTATTTCTCTTTGGATATTTTTAGGTAACATTTTTGTCCACACAGAATTTCTAAAGACTGATTTTGTGATTTCCAGATGCCTGCAAGAGGTTACTCCCATTAGGCAGACAGGTGTCATGTGCCTCAGTGACAGAGCAAAACACCTGCCATTAAACCATGTGAGCTGTTCTCAGTACTCAAAAGTTATGCTACTGCCAACCTCTAATTTCAAATGGCAAATTAGAAGGAAAATCTCACTGGTTACCTCTGATTTTTTACCGTTAAGGACCTACATTCACTAAATTACTCCTTTAGTATTCTGAAATTATGGGAGAAAATAAAGTATAGAAATAAAAGGTAACTGAGAAACAAATTAGCACAGCAATAATAAAATTAGAGAAATGATCATATGCGCAACCAAACAGACACACCCCTGGAATTTGGGAGGGTTTTTCATGTACGAATGATGCATTTCTGAGGAACAAATCCATATACCATTAAAACTCAGTATTCAAAACCAGACTTCAGCCTAACCCCAGATACAAGTGAGTCCAAATCTTTCAATTCACACATAATCAAAGTTAAACATTATACTTTCAACTAATCCAAAGAGATATTTTCTATTCAGATTATGATTTTGGGGACCTTCAATTCTATTTTTAGATAATTATGTTAAATTATGGATAAACTTAGATTTAGGGGGCAAGGAACTGTATTTTCAAAAACACAAGTCAAGTGTTTATTAAATAACATAAAGTCAAGAAAATCTTGTTTGTTGAATGTCCATTTTAAAGCTAACATTAGAAAGTATTTAATTCTAGAACTAGAAGGGAACTTTTACAATCACTTAATCTCCTTTCTTTAAGAGAAAAAAAATCATGGAACTCCAGAGAAGAAAAGTGACCTTCCCAGATAGGACAGACCCCGGCACCCCTGGACTTTCTGTTCAATACTCCTTTAATTCCACCAGGTTGCCTCCTGGGAAAGCAGGTTTTAAAATAGCATCTCTACAAAGACCAGATTTTCCCACAGTAAATAATGTGCCTATTCCACGTGTGACTCACAAGGACCCTAGTTTCCCTTAATAAAATTAAGGTACCTTTTGAAGTACAAGACATAAAAAAACCAACTGTGTGGGAGCCACTATGTGCAATGGAATAATGTTTGATACAAATGAAAACTCATTAGCTGTTAACCTGTTACACTGATCTTTAGCTGAACTGCAACTATTTCAGCATATTAAATACCCTTCTAAGTTTCATTAGCTAACTGCATACTTTAGTTATAGGATACATTTAATGCATAAGCATTGTTCCCTCAAACAGAGTTAAAATTTTCTCAATAAGAGATAAGATTTATTTTAATGGCTTATCCTTATTTCAGTTTGTTTCATTCATCAAAAGATTGAAGACCCACTAGCGGCATCAAGCAGCCAGTATACACACTTACTCTGCTGGTATTTGGCCAGGAAGCCACCTCCTTGCTGACCTTCATCTGTCCTCAGTTTTAAAAACATGCTGTCTCCACTAGAACGAATTAGGGGCGGTTTCTCATTCCCACAAAGCTGAGTTAGCAGATGAGAGCTGGTACTTGGGCCGTCATATACCTTTAATAAAACATTTTAAATGTCAAATGATTATGGCTATAAACATTATGTAAGACCTCTGTTCTTCTAAGGAACTGGGAAACGAACACATATATGACATAACAAAAGAAAAACCCTGAAAAAGATATCTTTTAAAATGATATTTAATTGTCCTTAAACTTTGGCTATGAACTTGGACCATTTAACCATGGCTGTGTATAGTTCTAAGGGTGTGAACCCAGGCTGAAATCTGAAGATTGAAAATAAAAGACTATTATATATTTTAGAGACCATAGCTATTATCAGTAGTCTTCTGTGCTTTTTTATTTCATAGATTATAATTTATGACACTTAAATACATTCTTAAATTTAGAATGTTTTTTAATGGAAAAGGCTGAATAGATGGTACTGTAAAAACCTGTACTGGGAGGACTTCAATTATCTTCTCTAATTCACCAATATAGTCCTCTAAATTGTTATTTTGCACTGCATATTTAGAAAGTACATAGACAATAATTTTGATAAGTCTCATAACCTCTCTCAGTAGGCTTTTAATCATATCTTAATAGTCCATATTTCATATATTCTAATACTTAGTGTATATATAGTTCATATTCAATATACTTTAATACTTATGTATACAAATACCAAATCATTCAGTAATACATGCTATACTTAGAAGGCAAGTCATTTTCATCAAATTTTCCTTCAATGTTATATTTTGTTTAAAATGTTTATGTGGATGTTTTGTTTAAACGTTCCCCTTTCTTGAATCTCAAAAAATAAAAACAAATGCATTTATGTGTACTGGGCAAGGAGGAAGCAGCGAATGATACACCCGAAACTTTATACATACAGCCAGATAATCTGCAGTGCAGTCTGGATGATGCTCCAAGTGAAACTCCTCAAATTCCAGTTCAAACGGGCTGCCGTGGCTGGATCTCAGCAGCCAGGAGCAGTCGGAGCTGTGGTAATAGGGCATCGGGTAGTTGGGAGACGTGAACGTGCCCGTGGGAGTGGTGAGGTTGCCCCCGCAACCTGAGGGAGCAAGAGATGGAATGATGCATCGCTTTTCTTTCTGGTCAGATTGAATCTTCTCGTCTGGATCAAGCTGGTACTACTGTTACTCCCCTTTAAACCAAGATGCAAAACAACCACCAAAAAGTAGCTAGCCTAGAGTCCTAACTCATGTCAACGTACTTTCCTTTTTCTAACCGTGTAAGCAGTTTGATGACATATACCAGGGAACCAGAACATTTTCCCTTACTTTGTCTTTCACAAACAAAACGCTGCTAATTCATTCAGATGCATTTACAGTGTTGATGCTTATTACAAATAATAATCGCAAAACGCAGATGGAAAAATAAGGATGAGAGTGTGGCAAGACAAGAACCAAGAAACCGTCCCAGTTGGACTCATCATAAAAGGCAGCTCTTTGCTATTTACCTGTTAATGATCCATCCCAGTAAGCTGAGAATCCAGACCTTGAGTCAAAGACGTCACTCTGAAATTGCACCCATAATTTGTTACTGTGAGAGATGATTCTTGGAGGCAGATCTGAGCCACAGTATTTTCCCCGGGATGGTGAAGTTTCATAGCCTCCATCTCTGTGACAAAATACAGATGTGAACATCCATCAGGTTATTGATAATGTTATTGTACAAACATCGAACATTATTTGAACTTTAAGATTGCAAACACAGCAGCTTAAGTCAATCAATATCTCGCAAAAATACTCTAAAAAACAGTGTTTTAAGTTTTCAATGTATTAAATAGCACTTGAATAGTTTAATAAAGAATAACCATCATTTATAGTTGGCATAACATTTTTTATAGTCAACTGGAAACTGAGACAAAGTGTTTAGTCTTCTCAAAAAAAGTGTCCAGCAAATATCAGAGAATACCAGATAAAGAATCCATAATTATTAAAAGTATAAACAAATATTGCTTAATTTTACAGAGAAAACGTAAATGTTTTTCTTCTAAAGAGTTTTCTTTCTAAAAAGTTTGTCTTCTAAGAAAATTTTCAAAATTTAATATATAGCAAACAAGGACATTTTTCCATTTTTGTTCAGATAGAATGGGAGGGAGGGAGAGAGAGAGAGAGAAACACTGCCGTGAAAGGGACACATCGAGTGGCTGCCTCCCGCAGGACCCCAATCAGGGCTGGGGACTAATCGCAACCAAGATACGTGCCCTTGACTGGAATCGAACCCACAACTCATTGGCCCATGGGCTGATGCTCTAATTGCTGAGCCAAACTGGCCAGAGCTAGAGCAAAACTTTTTAAATTTTATTTTTTCCATCACCATGTATCCCACATTTCTCCCTTCCACCTTTCCCCACCCCCCTCCTCTCCCCACAATCACCACACTGTTGTTCGTGTCAATGAGTTCTTTCTCCTTTTTTTCTGCCATGTGATTTCACTCATATGAGGAATTCAATTAACAAACTGAACAAACTATAGAAAAATTTTGAAATATTTTTTTCCTCAAGAACTTTTGGGGTTAATTCTAGTTTATAATCTGTAGCTTTAAAAATAAATAAATAAAGATTCACTCAATATAGAAGTCCAATTATTAACTGCTGTAAATTAAAACAATTATGTTATTTTAGCATCATATAGCACAACCATGATTTATTTTTTTAGTACCTTACCTTATATCATAGAATAAAATATACTTTAAAATAGTATAAGATTCCAGGCTTTTGAAATGCCAAATGAAATATTTGAAACAGATGTATACTAAATTGATTTGCCCAATTTAACTCAAATTTGTGATCTAGAGAAATATCAATAAATAAGCTATCTTAACTTTACTGCAAATATAACTTTTTAGACATATTTTTTCAAAGTAGCTAAGAATTAAAGAAAAAAATGCCATGCACTGAAATTGCCAGGCCTAGACTCATTATTTGTACACAAAAACTGTGTGAAATTATGATAAGCTTGCTATTCGCATCATTTTGAGATCTAATTAGACAAAATGGACAGTGAAGAGTCTAAAATTTAAGTTGATTTTGTACAAAGTAGATATTCAACAATAACAAGTATCCAGTTCCAGAGTGGTAGTACATTTGTTTACTCTGCCCAGACAAAATCTGGAGTTTATTTTCAAATATTCACAATAAAGGAATCACTTCAAAATAACCACGGAATCTTATGCAATTTTCTGTTTTCCTTCTGGTAATTCAGGCTCCAAATGACAAACTTTGTGTCTTACAAGAAAGAACACAATAAGGAGTTTTAGAGAGAATTTCTATATTTTTCCCTTAACCTTCCTAGGAAAGATTATGAATGAAAGTCACGAAAAACATTATGATGAAACAAAGGTGCTTACTTGATTTCCACAAAATCTCCTATACATTCTCCACCAATGGCCCCCTCCAAGGAGAAGTTTGTGAAGTGCAATGCAATCTGTTGGCTGGTTCCCACCGTGATCCTATAAACGCATTTCCAGTTGTTGGGGTAATTACTGGGGAAGTTTGGAGAAGTGAACGTGCCAGATTCTTCTGTATAATCTTCCAAGCATACTATGAAAAGAAATAAACCGCAGGAGAGAAAATAAAAAACGTTATGCTACATTCATAAGACATTCAGTAAGCTGCACTTGATTAATTTGTGCAAATGTACTTGGTGTCTTTTTTAAATAATTGACGCTGTTTAATAGGTGGCTTCCTTCTGCTACAGCCATGTTTGTTTTTTAATCCTCACTCGAGGAGATGTTATTTCTCAAACTTTTTAAAAAAAAAATCTTTATTGTTTTAAGTATTACAGATGTTCTCCCTTTTTTCTCCACTGATCTCCTCCTCCCCACTCCCACCCCCTTCCTGCCTTCCCCACACTTGATTTTTAATAGGCTGTTCTGGAATGTTCAAAGAGTAATTTCATTTCAAAATGAAGTTTGGGAAATCTCAAAGGCAACACAATTATTAGTAGTAAACCTAAGCTAAGTAGTATAAATTTGTTATATGTATCATAAGTGAACACATTTTTATGTTCTTGGAAGTGTGATAATGTTTCTAATTCATGCAAATTTCATGAACATTATAAATGAGACTCAACTACAGAAATCATAGAGGGGGCTTAGAAATAATTTGGTTCTGTTCTCCTTCTCATCTTTTGAAATGGTTTTCACCAAAGCATGCATTTAATGAGAAATGACAAAGCAGGTACCTAGGTCATGAGGTGAAGAATAGGAGATGAGACTCGGCCATGAATCAATGCCCAGCTCAAATGCTGACAAGCTATGCAACCTTGGACGAGTTACTTCACCTCGCTGAGCCTCAGCTCTAAAATGGAGATAGTAACTATCTTTGGGTATGCGTGTAAGGCTTAGAGACAAGGCAACTGAAGGCCTTGGCACATGGTATGTACTCAATGAATGACAGTAGTCATCATTAGATTTCAAAATAGAGCAGAAAGGTGTAAGAAAAATAGAGCATAAATTATGAGGAATAAATTAGATCACATCAAACAGACAGGACTTGGACAAGTGTATGTCCTAAATAATTATTAACTTTACCCATTCAGTCTTTCGGAGTACATATTCACTAACCAACCCACTCAATCTCTTATGCTCTCCAAATCTGAGCTATTCTCCAAAGAAAATCTGGTTTCCATGCATTTTCGTGTGTCTTCAACTAAACCCAGGAATGACCTAAATCTGGGGTCCAGGAGTAGACACAGATCTCCTAGGGAAAGGTTTTGGGGGAGAATGCACTATTATACTTAATCACGAGTGAAAAAAGAAAAGGAGGATGTTTCGGTCTATTTCCCAGTTGCTGTTGTGAAATCATACTCAGAGAAGAACAGAGGACCCACTGGTATTGAGAGCAGACATATAGAAAATATCACAGGTTCTACTACCTATGTGTCATCCTTAGAGGAACAGGCTTTCACCAATATTTGGTGTACTCTATTTGAAGCAGCAAACAATCCAGGCTTTACTGTACTGAAGGAATTGACAGTGATATTTAACTTCAAGGATGAAGGTCGTATACTTTTCTGTATTTTTTCACTGTCCCCCAAGGTATTTCTTTAAGGGGGAAGGAAGGAAAGGAGGGAGGGAGGGAGGGAGGGAGGGAGGCAGAGAGAGAGAAGTGGGGACAGAGGTGGTAGATTAAGTAATTCAGACCCAGGAATAAGTATTACTAAGATAAAAATGAATGGATCACACGGACATTAAATAAAGCTTATGAACCGGTCTCCCTGAGCTGGCAGAACTGAGACTCGTTGACCGCCCAACATTCAGGTAGCTTTAGCCAGTAAATGAAATATCTAGAGTGAATGACCTGCTCATGTCATTTGTACTTAAAGCGATAATGTTCCTTGCTTACCTACTCTACTCCCAGAGGGGAAATACAATTATACTGAATATTTCTAATGTAACGTGCTAGTAGTCTACAGGAGAACAGTTCATATAATCAGAGTCCCATGTAAAGAAACCTAATTTAATGACATTTTTGAGAAGCAATGATAAGCAATTTTCCTTGTCCAGACACAAAGCATTACTGCTGCATAATGGTGGTCTGTTAAACCTCACTGAAATTTTGATGTACATGTTAATCTTTTCTGTTGCTGGCACAAAGGTAAACAGAGTCCCTGATGTATTCAAATGATCCTCCCACTTCACTTTGTCTGAAATGCCTTATCAACAATTTCCGCTTCTCCCCCAGCACACCCTTTAACAAATGCACTCTTACTCATCAATTAAGGTCAAATTCAAACATCAGTTTCTCTATGAAGCCTTTCCTAATCAAGTAGAATTAACTTTCTTTTGCTCCATAAAACTTGGTGCAAATAGTAATTTGAGTCCTAAACACATGTTATTGTGATTGTTTTCATATGAATATATTTCCTCTACTAGACCTTCAAACATGAACAGGAACTTATTTACCATTATTAACTTTCACTTATCATACTACTGGACCAGATCACATCTAGTAAATATTCATTAAAATTACATGACATAATGTATTGAAACAAGAGGGGTGGGATGACTAATTCTCCCACCCTATTCCCCCCTCCATTTCTCTCACCTTGTTTTTCCTCTTCTTCCCATCCTCTCTCCTGAGGAGATTATGTTTTCTAATATTTGATCATGTTTATTAATTCTGAATGATAGAAATTGTCTGCTTCCATCATAACAAGTAACTGGTTCTAGACTAGTCCCTCTCCATAGCAACTATAATAATAGTGCAGTTCTGTCTACCTGCCCTGTTCTTCATGCAATGTTAGTTCTATCATTTAATTCTATTTATATTATAAACTCTAACTTACTATTATTTTGGCTTTGAATCATTACTTGTCTTTTAAAAGAACAATGAGAAGAAAAAACATTTATCATTCTGGTGTTCTTCATTCCTTGTAGATAGATACTTCTTTTCGGTATCTCTACCCTTTGGTGTGATGGACATTATTGCATCTCCTTCTCTTTTTACCTTATTGTTTCTCATTAGAACCCAGCTGTCTCATTTATATCATGGTTTCCTGTGTACAATGTTTCCTTTTTCTCCTTATTTCCCATATATTTGTGAAATGGAAAGAGTCAGGTATGAAGTAGGAGGTGTGAGGAGTGAAGTAGTAGTGTATTAACTCTAAGCAGACTTGCCAATAAGTTAAGAACGTATATTGTTAGCCTTTGAGCAAACACACAAAAAACTGAGGTATCATTAAAAAGCCCATGAAGGACGTGGAGTGGAATTCCCAAAGTGAGACAACGAAGAAGCAACAGAAGAGGAAGGGCACCTCTGAAAACCCAAACCTAACATCACCCTTCACTAGCAGAGGACTGAACGCTTTTCTCTCGGGACTAAGAACACGGCCAATATGTCCAAGCTGACTCTTTCCAGTCAGTATTGTACTAGTCACTGCAATAAGGCGAAATGAGAGAGGCAGACAGAGAGATATTGAAAAGGAAAAAATAAAACTGTCCTTCATCACAGATAAGATCGACTGTAGAATATACTAAGGAGTCTACTAAAATTTTACTCGAACTAATAACTGAGTTTAATAAGAAACAGAATACAAGATACAAATCTTTCAAACAAAAATGCTTAACAAATTAAACACAATTTGCTAAGCAAACAAAAATCTTGGATACATAACTCACATGATATAGAAAAATGAACTCATATTATAAACATAAATGTAAAAAATCAAACTATCGATTTGTAAAAGAATGCACAGAGGAAAACCTTCACAACTTTGGTAGGCACACATTTCTTAGCCAACATACAAGAACTATCAACCATAAAGGAAGAAAAGGATATAGTAGACTTCTGTCCTTCAAATGACAACATTAAGAAAAATAAAATGCAATACGTTTACCTGACAAAGGACATACTTTGTATCCAGAATATGTAACATATGACAATAAAAAGACAAATAACACAAACAAACATGAACAAAACAATTATATGGTAGACCTCACAAAACAAGGTATATAAATTGTCAATGTATACATATGAAAAGGTGCTCAGCACTGTTCATCACCAGAGACATGCACATTAAAACAACAGTGAGCTGCTACTACACGACTGCCAGAGGCTAAAAGTGAAAAGACTGACAGTGCCAAGGTTTGGCAAAGATGTGGTCAGTAGAATTCTCAGTGATTGCAGGTGGGAATATTAAATGATACACGCACTTTAGAAAGAATGTCTAGCCGTTTCTCATAAAACTAAACGTATCATTACCACATGGCCTGGAAATTCTACTCTTAGGTATTGTCCACAAGAAAACTCGTATATCAATGTCAGAGCAGCGTATTTCATAACAGCTAAAAACTAGAAATAACCCAACTGTCCAAATAATCAAATTACGGCCCTGGCCGGTTTGGTTCAGCCGGTTTGGTTGGAGCGTCAGCCTGTGGACCAGAGAGTCCGGGTTCAGTTCCCGGTAGGGGCATGTACCAAAAAAGAAAAAAAAATCAAATTATGATCTATCCACACAATAGAAGGTTATTTATTAATTTTAAAAAAACGTACTTATAAATAGAACCACATAAACAAATTATAGGAGCGTTATGCTAAATGAAAGAAGCCTAACATAAAAGGGTGCATTCCGTGTGTTTCCACTCACACCTTCCTTTTGACCAGGCAGAACCAATCAATGGTGACAATAATCAGGACTGCAGTGGTTCAGATGGAACGCATAGAAAGATTGACCCAGGAGACACTAGGATATTTTCTGGGATGGTAAAAGTGTTACTATTTTGAATAGAGTAATTACATGGATATACACATTTATAAAACTCCAGATGAATTTTATTTACTACACTTACAAAATAAAAATCCATGCTATGGCCTTGACTGGATGGACCAGTAGTTGGAGCATTGTCCCTTACACCAAAAGGTTGAGGGTTCGATTCCCAGTCAGGGCACATATCCAGGTTACAGGTTTGATCCCAGGTCAATGCACATACAAAAAGCAACTGATCAATTTCTCTCTCTCTCTCTCTGTCCCCCTCTCTCTCTCCCATCCTCCCTCTCTCAAACCAGTAAAAACATATCCTGGGGTGAGGATTTAATTT